CACCTGAAGGAGAAAAAAAACCCATCATTAACTCAGAATTCTGACTTTTTATCTCAGAATTCTGACTTATTAAGTCGGAATTCTGACTTATTAACTCAGAATTCTGACTTTTTATCTCAGAATTCTGACTTATTAAGTCGGAATTCTGACTCATTAACTCAGAATTCTGACTTTTTATCTCAGAATTCTGACTTATTAAGTCGGAATTCTGACTTATTAACTCAGAATTCTGACTTTTTATCTCAGAATTCTGACTTATTAACTCAGAATTCTGACTTCCATTCTCAGATGCACATGTAACGGCAGACGTCAAGCCTACACTTCATCTTAGCAGCATGGAACATATAATTGAGTATTTTAATTGTGGTTTTACGACCAAAGAAATTTTATCGTTGTTACATCATGTCCACTGCTTCCAAATCAGCAAAAGAACTCTCGAAAGGTTTTTAAAAAACAAACACCTGTGGAGGCGAAAAAACCTTACAAATGAAACAGAAGTTGCACGCTTTATACAACAGCAGCTGTCAACATCTGGGCAGCTACACGGATACAGATGGATGCACCAAAAATGCTTGCTTCATGGAATAAAAACAAGCAGGGAGACGGTGAGGCAAATTTTGCGTCTAATTGATGGAGACGGAGTTGAATTACGAGCGCGAAACAGGCTTCGCAGACGAGTCTATCACTCTCGTGGACCAAATTTTGTCTGGCATATAGACGGATATGACAAATTAAAGCCTTATGGGATAGCAATTAGTGGGTGCATCGACGGCTACTCTCGCAAAATGATATGGCTGGAAGCATTCAGAACAAACAATGACCCTAAGGTAATCGCTGGCTACTATATGGATGCTGTTATTCAGTCAGGCGGGTGCCCAGAACGAGTTCGTTTAGACCGCGGTACTGAAAATGTCTGTGTTGGCGACCTCCAGAAATTCCTGCGATTGCCCGATGGTGAGAGAGCAGCACAAGACAGTGCAATTTTTGGTCCGAGTACAGGAAACCAGCGAATCGAGCAGTGGTGGCTTACGCTAAGAAAACAATGTGTTCAATTTTGGCTTGACCTGTTTGAGAAACTGAAAGAAGACGGACACTTCACTGGCACCTTTCTGGATAAATCACTGGCTCAGTTCTGCTTCATGAACACGATCCAGGTATGTATTTCCATTGATTCAACTAACTTGATAATTTTATCCTTTTTCAGGTATTATAAGTATTATATATAAGCAGAGATTGGAAGTAACGAAGTACAAATACTACAAATACTTCGTTACTGTACTTAAGTAGAATTTTCGGGTATACTTTATACTTTTGTACTTTAAGTATGTTTTGGAGCCTGTACTTTTTACTTTCACTTGAGTAAAACATTGATTCAATACTTCAACTTTTACTAGAGTATTTTTAAACCAAGGTATCTATACATTTACTTGAGTAAAGAATGTGTGTACCGTGTGCCTGCGGGTTTTAAAATGTTTTTAAAATTGTATGTTATTTTACTGCTAATATTTTTGAATATATATTTAAATATTTAATTTACTACTAATATTTGACTAATTATGAAACTTGTTGACTGCTCTCACACCCTCACTTGTCCTTCGTGGACAAGACCCAGGGTGTGATTGGGATTTGATTAGTCTTCACAAATGGATCATTTCTTGAAATGTGGCTTTTTTCTTTTTTTTTTCCTTTTAGGAATTTTGAAAAGTATCTATATGAAGACCATAAAGGTTCTGCTTGTTTGTTTTAATAGGAGGAGCTTGACGAGATTTGTTGGACTTGGAATAATCACCGGATACGGCCATCACACAACAGTCGCGCTCCAAACGGCAGGCCGTCACTCATGTACGCTCTACCAAATTTGTACGGGACCACAAGTTATCTTCACGCAGTAAATGAAGACTCAATTCAGACCTGCCTGGAAGAGTGTGCCTTCAAAGACTTTCCATGTGACAAGGACATTTACTATTTATGCGCAGACATTATATCAGAAAATAATCTTGAGGTTGTAGATGAGGTGTATGCCAACGTAGATTTATACCTCAAACTTCGTGAAATTGTTTTGGACATGCTGGGTTAATGCACTCTATTAGCTTTACTAAACTGGCCTCATTCCTTCGTTAACACTGAATGTCATTTAAACAAGGTTGTGCGCAGTTGTATATTGATTATTTTTGTTTTGCAGTTGTTGAGATGTAAAGTAATGCAGCACATAATGACGTAGACATGTTCCTGATTGTTCGATCTGAGAGAATTCAAGCTTACCAATACTGAAGTATGGGATCCTAAAGATAACAAGGACCTGTAATTGTATTGTGAATGTATTAAAATTGATTTATTTGATTTTCCGTGGTATTTAAAGTGAAACGATGAAATACACAAATATACATGATAATTAAGATAATAAATCTGTTAAATATACATTTTGTACGAAGGACATTTTTATTATCAATTTTATGTTTCACTGCTGAAAAAGTAGTCATTTACTTTACTTTTAGTACAAAATACTCATTGAATCTCATATCTTCTTTTATAATCTAGAGATTGTATGTGTATGGTGTTCTGGTCAAACAAAAACTTTAAAATGCAACAGCTTGAGCTATTTTCTTAAAATGAAGCCATCTTGTGGGATACAAAAAATGCAGATTGAAGCTTGAAGTTTCATTTAGACTCTGTTTTTTATTTAATTATGCAGGCCACCATCAAGTGCTCACCGGTATATTCCTCGGTTTTCTTTAAATATTTTTCTTTATTATTCTTGAGCCACCTGTACAAACCCTGTATTTAGATTTTTCCTTTAGATTTAATGTTTTTACTATTTCACTTGAAATAATAAATGTACTAATTTTGTAGCAATGTCCTTAGAAGAGCCATAGGGAGAAAAGGGAAAAAAAATAGTTACAAAACTAACTGTTTTATAATTCAGAATAATTATAAACCCTAGTCAGCAAAAATGTACATACTGTTCTCCTATTATGTACATTATGCCCCCCTCCCAAAAAAAAATTAAATCTTCAAGAGATCAGAAGTGAGGTCAAACCTAGCAATTCGCAACCTGCTGCTTAAGAACATTTTAAAGAACATTTTAGAACAACAATTTGCATGTTAGAACAACCATATAGTTATTTGTAAAACACTTGACACTAAAGTGCAATAATGCATAAAATATAAGAGTATTTCAAAAATACTAAAAGTTCACATTCAAAGATTTCCATAACAAGGAGTCAATAAAGTGCAAACAAAAGGACAATCAGCACCAACAATCAACATTTAAATGCCAAAACTGGATACCATTACTTTAACAAATAAAATTATAAAACCATCAAAACAAAACAAAATTTAAATCAAAACACTGGCATAACTTTCACAGTAATCATAAAAGCAAAAATGTCCAGTTCTGGACATTTGGAAATGTGGATTTACTTTAACTGCCCTGTAAATTTAGTTTCACCATGGCAGACCTCTTTACACTATGTCCATGACCCACATGTTGCTGTCTAGGACCTTGTTCATTTCTGCCCGAAAATCAGGGTAACTGTCATAGAAAATGGACAGTTCCAGGACACATCCACATGTGTGTGATACAGGTCTTCTTTTAAAACCTTGAATCTCTGTAAAAGCTACATTAATAGTTTTTCCAAGGTACAAGTCAGAGCCTGTGCAAAATCGCAAGAACTTTGACAGGCGGTGGAATTCAGACTCCTTGATGTATTTTCTAAGGTGATTCTGAATTTCACTTTCAGGACCATTTCTTGCTGGATCAATAGGAAAGGAAAGAGATTTTAGCACCTTTCTTGCAGTTGGTTTCAGGTTTTCATAACCACATTTTATTTCCTCCAGATCTGAACAGATTGTATTCAACACCGTGGCCCACTGATCAATCACAAAAGCTGGCTCTTGGATGAATTTCTTATGTGCCATTTCTCGCAGGATTTCTTCAAAGTTTTCTTTAGTGGGCATCTTACGACAGCTGTAACCGTCAAGTATTTCAAACAGTTCCTCTTTGTCAACAGAGTGAAAATCAGTGCGACTCTCGTCAAAGACTGTACACTCTGTTTCTGGGACATACTGCAAAAAGTTCTCAATTAAGTCACTTTGGACATCACCCAGTATTGCCTGCTCAAAGATTACAGGAGCCAATTTAATTGGAAAATATCTTTCTCTCTTCCAGCCCAAGATGATCACTCTGGCTACACTTACCCATTCTTTTTCTGCAAAATCATGACGCAGGAATGGGACTTTGCATTGGTTTCCCATTGTGCATTGCTCATAGAAGTCATTCCAAAACTCACTTAAACAGTCCCTCAGTACTCCTCCTTCATCATGTGCCATTTCATGCTGGCCATTAGGCAGGACAAGCTGAATTCTGAACTGAGACTGGAGAGGATCTTCATCAGTAAAAAATGCAATCAGCTCTGGAAGAATGTTTCCACGATGAAGAATCAGAACCTTGGGTTCTACTGGCATTGGTAGGGTGTCATCTAAGACTTCTTCTGACAAGACTGACTCCATATTGTTTAGAAATGTGACTGTGTCACTGTCATCGTAGTTATTTTCCAATGAATTTTCAGGAAGAACTGGTGAACTCTGTATCATGCATGACGCTTCCTCATCAACTGCAATAAATAATTCACTGCTTTGTGTAATGTCTGATGTATCATCAACAATCCTCAAATTGTCACCTGAAGGTGTTGAATGTGCTTGAGGAACTGACAGTGTGCTCTCTGGCTGAATTAAACTCTTTTGTTTAAGCTTTGTTGTCAAGTAAAAGCGAAGCACAGATAACTGTGTTTCATCATAGAGATCTCCTACAGTTGTGTTTTCATCAAGTGATGTTTCCTTGAAATCTTTTATGTCCATTTCAAAGTCACTAGCACATCCAACAGAATTCTTGCCACTAGGGAAAAATAAAGAAAAAGCTTTTTCCAACAAATCTGCTTTTTGACTTCCTCTTGACACTTCAACTTTTCTTGTTCCACCACCTTTCCTTGTTCTCACTTGAATGAATGCATTTTTTTCTTCATCAAAATTCATCCACCCTATTTCTACCTTTCTGTTTTTTTTGCTAGATGTTTTACGAGGTAATGCAGAAGTGCCTTCTGTTGTAGGACCTTCATGTGGTCTTTTTTGAGACAACTTTGACCGTAGACGTTCTAACAGTTTTGAATGGCGCACTTCTACATTTTTTACTTTCCTCCTACAGAATGATACTACTGCCAGACGGTCACCATACGATGGAATGTATCCCTGGAGTTGTTCATCTGTCATGACTAGAATTACATCACTGTCAATCTGAAAAACAGACCAGCAACTACTAACTACATTGCACACAATTATTTTTCCACAAATTACATACTGTGCATACACAAACACATGATATACAAGAATAAGTGATGGAGTAATAAGTATTGACAACAATATTTGTTTATGGTACGAACACACACTTACAAAGGAACAGAAATGTTAAGTTAACAAGTATTGGATGAAATGAGTTGTTTTTTAAAAAAAATTTAGATGACTACCTTGTCTCTTTCCAGTTTTTCAATGGCATTCTCTGGAATGTTCCTCTGTCTCAAAAAACTTGACAGCTCATCCATCCTGAGGTCAATTAAACAATCAAAACATGTTACAGATGGCATTGTAAACCTTAAGTTATTTAATTTGGAACATAACATTGTATCAATAGATTATCAATTTAAAACACACATACCTTTGTTTAAATGTAAAAATGTCCCAGGATTTGCCTCTTTCAGGTACTTAAGAGCAGGCTATGAACTAGAACAATACAACAAGAAAAACTATCAAATTACAAATATTTAATCAACTATTTACTGCATTCTGTAGCAGCATTTTGCCACTTTGCTATTATGACACATAGGGACTATATATTTGATTAATTTTTATGGCCACTGCTTTATAAGCACTTTAAACCCTGGAATGAGGTCCTGATTCAGGAAGAATGCAACTATACTATACTATTTCCTATACTATATAGTATAGGCTATACTATTTCCTATTAAATAAAAATGCCTCCTTTTGTCTATTACATAAAACTATTGTGTGTTGTTTGCACAAACATAATTTCTGACACCCAACACCTCCATCTCTAATTTCCCAGTTCTATTTGTAATCTGTTCTGACTATTAAATAATTATCTAAGACTACATTAACACAACCATACATACCAGATGCTACTTACAGCATTTGTAATATAAATGCCTCTTGAAAAAGCTGCAATTACGTTAAATTACGTACGTGCAATTAATTTAAAGTTGACTATTTAAAAAAAACCCGCTGTAAAAATCATAAGCCTGCGAGGAAATCAGTGGGTCCACCAACAAGGGCTCATTAATGATGCTAACAAGCTTACCGGCACCAAACAATGTATGCTGGTATTTCTTGTATAACCAACATCGCATATGCTGGTCAAACTGGCAACCAGCTACACTGATCTTTACTTTTTCAGCGCGGAAAACCATATCATTGCCATCTTTCACTGCACTGCACCCATCCTAACTAGACAGCTTCCTCTCTCTCCGATATACCTGTAGTTAAGAAATTACCGTTTTCTTCTCTTACATAGAATGCTCACGTTGCTCGCTTTTGCACGTACCATATCATGACGAACTCATTAAATGTTCTCAAGTAATCGTGTCCTCTTCCTACTTCCTCGTCTATGCGGAACAAAGTTCAAAAGTCAACGAACCGACCAATCAGAATCAGAGATAAAAAGTCAGATTTCTGACTTTTTATCTCAGAACTCCGACTTAAGTCAGAATTCTGAGTTAATAAGTCAGAATTCTGAGTTAATAAGTCAGAATTCCGACTTAATAAGTCAGAATTCTGAGTTAATA